CCGCGTCTGAAACAGCCCGGCAGCGGCTGAATCAGGACGCCTGGGGCAGAGCAGCTGGGGTGCTGCCGGGTTGGTTCGGAGTGGCGCTGCGGGACCAACCCGGCAGCCCCCAGCTGCTCTACCCCAGGGGTAGGCAAGAAAAGCCTGGTCTGCTGGGGGGGGCACTAGCTGCACCCCTCCCCCAGCAGACCAGGGATACGGGGGTGGCGGGACCGCCCAAGTCCTCCACGGCTTTGCTCCATCTCTCTGGTCTGCTGACCTGGGAGACGCGGAGCAAAGCCGCAGAGCACGCGGGCAGCGGGACAGTCCAGGCGCGCCACGCTGTCCCACTGCTGGCGTGCTCCGAGGCTTTGCTCCCCATCTCCCTGGTCTGCTGGAGAGGACAGGACAGCCCAGGCGCGCCTGGGCTGCCCCGGAGCCCCAGCCCCTCCGTGGCTTTGCAAAGCTGCGGGGGAAGCCGGCGGCGGGACAGCCCAGGCGTGCCTGGGCTGCCCGGCTGCCTGAGCCCCTCCGCGGCTTTGCTCTGCGTCTTCCTGGTCTGCAGACCAGGGAGACGCAGAGAAAGCCCCAGAGTACACGGGCGGCAGGACCGTGAGGTCCCGCAGTCCGTGTACTCTGGGGCAGCCCTGTTCGTATCTGCGGATCCGATGTGAGTCGGATCCGCGTAAGTCGGGGACTGCCTGTAGTTGCCTAGGCACATCTGCAAATCCTATTATGTACCCTTCTGCATCTTTAGGCATCTAAGGTCATGTCTACACTAGGAAATTATTTAGAAATAACTAAATTCAAAATAATAATTCCGCAAATAACTATTTCAAAATACGCTTATTCCCCTAGGAAAGCAGGAGTACACATTTTGAAATAACCAGCCTGTTATACTGAAATAATGGGCTTGGAAGTGTGGACACTTAGCTTTTTATTTTGAAATAACTCCTTAATGTAGACAAAAGCTAAATGTCTTTGAAAATCTGACCTTTGGCTCCTTCAGAAATCCAAGCCTTACATTTGATTTACATGAGAAATAAGTGTGATACTGGTTTTTATACAGATTTAGCCAGTTCTAGTTTAAATTCCTTGTAAAGATAAGCTTTCCATTGCTTAGTAGGTATTCTAAACATCTCTCTTTTCAGCTGTTGCATACATAAAGACTGGAGTTTAATAGTATACTTCTTTTATATCTCGTCCCCTCTGAAATTTTGGTCATCATTATTCTAAAAGAAGTAATCAGAATATAAGACCAGACCTTTTTCTTCTGGAGCCCAATACTGAATTAAAAAAAGTGATACCAGTTATATTATCTGAAAATTTGGCCCAAAATACTTTGCTCTTATAGTAAGAATATAAAAACAGGGAATCTGCAATGTACTAAGTACTAACCTCCTCCTTTTCCAGGAGCCTGCATAGAATGAGGAAAACAATAGATAGTGAATATTGAAAGCTTTCAATGAGAATAATATACTATTTTTATATTTGTTTGCTTGTTACCACAGGATAGATATGATTTAGCAAAAGTGATTTAATACCTTGACTTGGGCCAAATATAATACTTGACGAGTCAGATACATGCATGGTGCAACTGCATTGGAGCCACATCAACCATGAATTTGATCCAATGATCCTCTATTAAATGAAGTGATTGTAGGATTTTGCCATTTCTTCAATGAGAGCAAGATCTGGAGCAATATTTCAAATTGACTTAGGTAGGCAGTGATCCAAAGCCCATTGAAATAATGGAAGTCTTCTCACTGACTTCAACAGAGCTGGATTAGACTACACAACCTGAATTTATCCATGTGATGAACTTCGTACTTAGAGATTCATTGATTATAAGGCCATAAAGGACAATTGCAATCATGTAGTGAGTCTGGCCTTTTGCATAACAGAGGCCACAGAACTTCCTGGATTCTTGTTTGAACTAGAGCAGATCTTTTAGAAAAACATATGATCTTGATTTAAACATTGGCAGTGATGGATGTGTGTTTGTGTGTAAACCTGTGTTTATTTTATTTGCTCACCTTCCTGTTGTATATCAGTAGTAGAGGATCGAATAGCAAAATTCTAGACAGGATATTCTCAAGGAATTTTTGTCTTGTTTGGAAGTTGAAAATTTCAGCTCTCATACTGAAATTTATATTCATGATTATTTCTAGCCAAATTTCTATATTTAAACATTATAAAAAGTTGATGATTGAACAATCAAGCATTGAAATGACATCATTCTTATCTGATAAGGTTAATAAGGAAGTTTATTTTGCAAATTGGGATAATGGGGAATTCCAAGACTCTGTGGGAGGGGGCAATTTTAGAGTAGAAGTCTGCAAATGCTTCCAGGGCAGTATGAGCTGCAATTGTATCTCATTTTCCCCATGTTAAAAAAGATCATTATTAGACAGGTGTCTAGTTAGTTAGTCATAGGACAACTGAATGTTCTGAAAATGAACAACAAATTATATTTAAAATGTATTTTCTTTATGGAAAAACCATATAAATTGTAAGTTCACAGAAATGTAGCAGCATAATGTAGAAATTACTAAATTTTATAGTTTTTACAGTAAAGAATAATAACTTTTCTATATGGATTTGAACCATCCATAGAATTTTATAGAACTGTAGGTATTATATTTTCTATAAGGTAGTTACAAAAACCTTCCCAACTATAGAAAAGTTTTCATTTGCTATTTATTTTTATAACATGTATTAATGCAATTTTCTATTATTTTCAGTTTTATTAGCCCTGTCTTTTCAGTCTTTTGAAATATATGTTGGAAAAAAAGATAAGTTATATATTTTTTTGAAATGTACTGTCAAACCTTCATTGACATTTACAGCAGTTTGCATGTATGAGATGTATTCTTATCTAAGTGCTTGGGAAAGTAGATTATGTGTACAGATCTCATTTAAGTAAGTAACTTTACATTGATGTGTCATTGACAAAGTGGTATGTTGATAATGTATACAAAAATTACTTACTTCATGTAACTCCTTAACAGAGAGGTGTCTAAAAAGAAAGAAATAGATGCAAAACATTTCATTATTGTAATATAACTAAGGGATTGTGCCCCCTGCTCACAATACTTGCCAACCCCCCTGTCTGGGGATAGGCAGCTCCGGCTCTCCTCCCAGCCTTTGAGGAGGGCTGGGGCTGCACCAGGACCAGTCTTTTGCCTCCACCCAGCTGCCAGGGAGGGCTGGGGCCTTGGTCGCATCAGCCTTGGTCTCTCCGCATCCCCAAGCTGCTGGAGAGGGTTGGGGTGGAGGCTGCAGCAGCTACAATTCTCCCCCCAGCCACTGGAGAGGAGAGGGCTGGAACGGGGCTACAGTGTGGCAGCCCCCCTTCTCCACATGGATCCTAGGGAGGGCCAGGGTGGAAGTGGGTGGGCCTTGACTCCTATGGACACAGAGTGACATGATGACTCACTCTATTGTCCTGCAGGGAATTTTTTGTATATATATATATATATATATAGAGAGAGAGAGAGAGAGAGAGAGAGAAAATTCTGACTATTTGAATAGTTTTATGACATTATCAATCCTCAATTAATAGACCATGGTATAGTGAGTTTATCACTACTTTATAAATTCAGAGGCTGAATTTATAAAGACATACATTTGTTGGAGAAAAAAGTTATGGTTTTCCATAAAACTGTAGCATAACTGGAATTAATCCTGGTAAATGAGAAATGTACATATGAGATGTTTAAATTTTGGAAATATGTATGTGTGTGTGGTGGTGGAAATTTGTATAATTATGAGATTTCTTCTCAATTTTTGTAGTATGTAAAAAAAAAATCTCAAACTTTGATTACAACTCTAAATGTACGTTCTCTAAAGAATAAAAATCATTTTAAAAATGAAATGCTCAAAGTGGGTGGAATGAACAGTGTAAGGAGGAGAGATACAGAAAATACAAACAGGTATAGCGACGTGGATAATAATCAAGGAGGCCCCAATACAGCAGTGCAGTTAAACCTGATCTTAATTCCCCTTGGCAATGTCCTAGGGAAGTGCTTTGCTGAATAGCGATGGATTTATGCATGAGCTTGTAGTTCAGCCTTTTTGGATCTTGTTCCAGAACTTTAACTGGTGCAAACTGGAATAACTTCAGTGAATGATGTACCAGCTGAAGAGCTGACCTATCATGTAGAGTTGGGAGGAGGAGTGAGTATACAAGATTTCTCATTTGAAGTGCATAAAAATTAATGTCATAGTTGGACTAGGTACAAAAACTGAATTGGTTTCCTGCTCTTCTGCTACTGACGAGTTTGTCTGCTTTTGATTACAAATACATTTTTATAAAAGTAAATTTTACAAAAATACCAAAGTAACTTGGCAGCCTAATCCCATTTTAAAAACAGATTTATAGCCATATTTGTAGAGGTACTTATGGACCTAAATATGCAGATAAGAGCCTTGTAAGATTTTCCAAAGCACCTGGTTCTTAATTCCCATTGCAATCACCTAGACATCTAGGCACCATTTACAAAAAGAGGTAAACATGTTCTTAAGCCCATTTTTGTGAAGTAATGCATTTCAGTATGGTCTTAACTTTAGGCACATGATTAAATTCCATTAATTGTAAGATCAAGTACTATGCTGATGATGGACTATTGGATTGGGGCTGTAGTGACTTTTGTAAAATGAAGTGGCATTCTATGTCGCCTCTAAACTACACTAAAATTGGAAACTTCAGCAAGGATACCAAGAACTAACCGGAACTAGTCTATACACAGTAGGATCCTTAAGGCAAGGACTGTGTCTTTCTTTCTCTGTATTTGCATGCCACTGGGTTCCCAAGTACAATTATTTTTATTTAGAGATGGTTGGAACATTTCCAAATTTCAATGAAAAAATTGGGTCAAATTTTATTAAAAAATCCATCTTTTTTAAGGGCTCTATTTTTAGTGTTAGTATTAGATTAAACTAAACACAAAAAACACAAGCTACTCTTTGGTGTGTGAGTGTGTGTGTGTGTGTGTGTGTGTGTGTGTGAAAGAGAGAGAGGGGCCGCATTTTCTGTAATACAGTCAGGGTGCCATGTTTCATATTTTGGTCCATTTCAAACTTTCAGAGCTTTCTTACACAATATATCTGAGAGTCAACATTTTTAATTTGGCAAGGTGAACAGAAAATGAAACAAACATACTTGGTAACCATTACCTGATGTTCTTTGCTGACATTGGAAAGGTGTGAGTCTGACTAAATGTATTCCTTGTGTGTGAGAGCTGGCTGCTTACTTCTGGTTCTGGTGGAAGTGGCTGATATTTCTTTGGAAGTGTCTGAAGAGGCCTAAAGTAAAAAAAAATTGAATTTAAAGAAATATTAGGATGTATACAGGGCACAAAGTAGTCTTGTAATTGCAGGTTTCACACTGAGATTTTATTAGGACTAACTCCTCTTATATATTTGGATACCGCTTTGCTCAGTACGGCTCTGATCTTAGTAATGTCCTATAGATGCAACACTACCATTACATGCACAGGACACAATACAGGGCCTAGGACAGTGAGGTCCCACTCCATGATGGATTCTCAACACTACCACAGCACACACAGTAATAAATATACTCACCTTTAAACAGTTTTGAATGATGAAATCACTACCTTTCTACAACTTTAACTTTGAGAGTATATAAATTTGTTGTAGTATTTATTGTATTCCCTTTAATTAAGGAAGATTATGAATACTGCAGAAATACAAATTGTTTGCAAACCTATTTTAATGACATTCACTATATGTGTAGTAAAATTAATTGGGTAGTCCTTGTAAAAGTATATTTTATTTATGAGAGTTGTTAATCTTAGATAAAGATAAAAGGATCAACAAGGGAAAGTAACAAGAGAACAAATTGTTTTATATTAGTGGAGTTCTTATGAAAGTAGGTGACAAAATTCCCACTGAAGTTTCACGAGAGCAGGATTCAGGTTGGTAGTGGGTAAAGCAAATTAATATAAGGAAAATGTTAATCGTCATTAAAACATGATATTGTTACTAGGGGCATCATCCAGCAATTATGGAAGTCAACAGGAATCTTTCTATTGACTTAAGCTGGAGCTGGATCAGATCCCAGGTTTCCTGAGTAGGGGCCTTATACTGCTCATGCTGAAGTCAATGGCAAACATCCCATCAATTTCAATGATGCAGTACTGGGCTCTAGATACAAAGCTTCTATGCTTAATCCTTTGTCTGGCCTGGCACCCAATTTAGGTTTAGAATGTAGGACTGGTCAATGGTACCTGTAAATTCACTTCCAAACATCTTATTGACATGATTAATCAGGGTGGACTTGTAGACTGGTTTATTTATCATGCCTTTATTTAACCAACCCCAAATAAGCTATTTAGGAAATGCATGCAAGTTCTCTTAGAGTACACTTACCTTGGAGGGGGCAAAGGGTGCTGAAAGAGATGAAACATAAAACACATGACTTTTTCTTTATAGGAGGAGGAGGATAAATGAATTATGTTTAGGCTTCATAAGCACCAAACTTCACATTCAGTTCTTTAAGTCTTTATTTCTGCATAACACACGGAAAATATCTAGATACTACAAAAAGCCTGATTTTTTTAAAAAGGTTTTGAAGACAGCTTCTATTTTTTGGAATGCAAATATGTAAACCTGCTGTTAATTACTATGATGTCAGACAGTTCAAGCACATGACTAAATGTTTGCAGGTGTGATTTGCAGATGTAGTTGGATTGACAAAGGCATAATCTACAGGTGCAGCAATCATACTTACAGGTGCAGACATCAAAAAAGCAACATTTTTAGATATAATTATTTGTGGTGCACAAAGTGGTGCCTGCAAAAATTGACTCTACTTTTCAAAATCAAGCACCTAATACTGTGAATGTTTTTTCAATGAAAAATAAAGACTTGAAATAAAATTATTATTGAAATTATCCTTACCTGAGATTCAATTACTTTTTCTTTTTCTCCTAAATATAGAGATGATTAAAATAAATGTCAATGGAGTGCTGCCTATGTACTTAAGAAGCAAGCCTGTAGTTTGTTTGTTCAACACTACAAGCAAGAGAGAGAGGCTAGCCTTGGTCTTTGGACACAGTCCTGAAGTTGTAAAATGAGTTACTTCAGGAACAGCCTTGAAGGCATTTAGAACCTCAAGTATAGTTCCTATGCTTGCTTCAGGAGCTTAATGCTGTTGATGCTACAATATTCCTACTCTTATCAATGGATTGCAAGTTTGAGGCAGTAACGGGGAGGCACAGCACCCAAATGCAAGCTGCAGGTAGTACACAAAGGTTTAAGGGGTGGTTCTTATGCCCTGTCTGGACATAAAGGCAAATTCATAATCTACACAGAAGGCTAGACTGTTCAGTATCCTCTCAGGGTATGTCTACACTTGCTCCCTAGTTCGAGCTAGGGATGCAAATGTAGGCAACCGAAATTGCTAATGAAGCGGGGATTTAAATAATCCCCAGGGAGCCAAATCCTGCCCAATCTCAGTCCTGAAGCCCAATTGACAGCTGGGGTGTCTGGCTGCTGTGCTGTGGCCCTAGCCATCCCAGGTAGCCAGAGTACATAGTTTCTGGAAGGCACTGGCTTCCCTTGCCTCCATTACCCACCACCCATGCTTTCACCTTTGCATTGCACTTTGGGGCCAGAAAAGGATCATAGTGCACACTACTATATGGATTTCAAGCGCACCCTATATTTCCATTCTCAATCCTTAATGCTTATCTCCATATAAGAGACCAGCTATATAGAAGCAAATATAGTCAGGGAATTGCCATGCCAATAATTAGAACTGGGACATCATTTCTTTTTGCTGTGGTCTATGCTAGGGAGTTATTTTGAAATAACCTCCCTTATTTCAAAATAATAAATGGAGTGTCCAAACTTCCAAGCCTGTTATTTCAAAATAGTGAATTGGTTATTTCAAAATCTGTATTCCTGCTTTCCTCGAGGAATAAAGCTTATTTAAAAATAGTTATTTCAAAATAGCATTAGTGTGGATGCTCTGCTGCTGCTATTATTTCAAAATAACTAATTCGAAATAAGAGCTCCTCAGTGTTTCCTGGGGCTCTAACTCGAGGTAGCACGTCCACATTAATGGAGCCTGCCTCGGACTAATTTCAAGGCTTCCCCATAGTGGGGACATACTATTTCGATTTTGTTATTTCTGGAGTTATTACATTGATTTTTAGTTATTTCAAAATAGTTTCCTTGTATAGACATGCCCTTTTTGATTGGGTCCAGACCAATTCTCTTTAGCAACACTCACAAACAGCAGTTTATTACATGTACTAACTAAGGAAAAAACATAGTTAAGAAGAGGAAAAACTTTATTTTTTTGTCATCTCACAATTGTTTCATGAAAGTTGGTGTGACATTGGAACTAAAATTTGATTTAACTACACAAGCATTATATAAAATATTTTTTTCACAAAAAATTGGTGTGAGATTGGGACTAAAATGTGATTTAACTACACAGCTTTTATTTAAAATATTTAGCATTAATATTAGCATTTCGAAACCAGTTCATAGATTATATTTTGGTTATAGTCATGAAGTTGTCTGGCATTCATTTTGTGTGAAGTCAAATCCTGACTTCATTATTACAATGTTTTGCCTGTAATACGGTTTTTGCATTTTCTTCATTCTTTAATCAAGTTTTCTTCAAACATTTAAATAACTGTATTTAAATCAATGTTGCAGTTTTATCTCCTTTTAAAAATAAACATAGCATTGTTCCCCATAAAGCTCCATGAACCAAAATAAGTAAACAAAAATGAAACATAATAGATGTTAACTTATCTTGCAAGCAGTGAACCATAAGTTATTCTGAACTAAAGTAATTATAGGTTAAATATTTAACAGTTGTACAATGAAATTGACAAAATAATGGTGCAAGATTTGTGCAGATAAATCCCTTATGCCATCTTGTGGGCCACTGGTTTAATTGCATCAAGCAGAAATATGAATATCGAGAAGACAGTTTCTATAATTGTGCAGATACTATTGTTAATTAAAAATCATAATGTAGTCCTATATATGTGCCATACGTTTAGAAAGTGCTTTACAAATATGTTTTAAGACACCTGCTCTAATCCTAGTCTGTCCACACTAAGGGTACGTCTACACTAGCCCCCTAGATTGATCTAGGGAGGCTAATGAGGGCGACTGAAATTACAAATCAAGCCTGAGATTTAAATATTCTGCACTTGATTTGCATGTTCCTGGCCAGTCGCCATTTTAGAAACTGACTAGCCTGAAGTAACTGCCCACGTCTACACGTGGCAGTGAAACGGGATTCCGATTTAAAGCCCTAAATCGAATTAGCTCGTAAATCTCTTTGCAGGAGGAATACCAGCTAATTTGAATTAAGGCTTTAAATCGGAATCCCATTTCACTGCCGTGTGTAGATGCAGGCAGTTACTTCAGGCTAGTCAATTTCTAAAAATGGCGACCAGATGGGAACATGCAAATCAAGTGTGGGATATTTAAATCCCAGGCTTGATTTGTAATTTCGGTCGCCCTCATTAGCCTCCCTAGATCAATCTAGGGGGCTAGTGTAGACGTACCCTTTCTTATTTTATGTCATCATCACATATCTCATGGAAGCATTAGCTAAATACTTTTCTTGGCAAATGTGGGTTAACATTTTCAAAATACCTAGGAGACTTAGGAGCCTAAACATAATGGAATTTAGAAGGGATATATTTTCGACACTGTTTAGGTTTCTAAAGATGCAGGTAGGCACTCAGAGATCTTTAAAAAATATTTGCACCCACAAAGCCTGGGCTAGGCTCCTAGTTTCCCTATACAAGGAATACAGAGAACTAGGTGCCTTAGAATGTGATTCACAAAAGCCATCATACTAGGTGGGGAGCTGCCCAAGATAGCCAATGGAGATAATGTCAATAAGAGGGGTATATGCTAAGCCTCCCCTCCCCGAGATATGCATCCAAGTCCAGGTTGTAGGAAGGTGTCTCTCTCTGCTAGAGATCCACAACCGAGAATCCCCCCATTTCAGAGTCAGGAGGTGTAGGTGTTTATCTCCACACAAAATGGGCAGAGGAGAAATCCATCTTATATCTTTCCCATCCATATATGAAATATACTTTTTATGTGCACCAAGGCATATGTGAATGTGCACCACCAGTAGAAACAAAAAACTAGTTGTGGGTGCTCTGCTAATCAGCTGGTTGGCATTTGAATCTCAGTGAGTGGCTGCACAAGCGCCCAGCTTATGGGAAACACTGATGGGGAGTCTGTTCCAAAGCTGAGTGAAGTCAATGGGAGTTTCTCTCTCAACTTCAGTAAGTTTTGGATCAGGTCAATAGACAAGTTCCCTGACATAGCATTCATTTGATTTTCATTTGAGCTACATCAGTATTTGCTCTTAAAGGGTAGTTGATTTGTTTATTTTTCTCTTTTGTAAATTTTATTTTGTACACCTCTGGCTTACTTGTGACTTCAGCAGAAAGTACTTTTGGCTTAGTGCTCCGTTTTATAGCAGGACCTAAAAGAGAGAGAATACATTTTGTTTCAGCATTGATGATTTTTTTTCATTGTGTCTCCACTATTGTCTTAAGCTCAGTCTTTATACTTGTCAAGGCTGTTCCACCAGTGCAACAGATGGGGACCCACAAGAGAGCTTAAAAATACCTTGCCTCTATAGAATTCTGCTTAAAAGTTCCCCAAGGTCACAGATTCCCTCGCCTTAGGAGGTAGCTGCCACCACCAAATGAAAAAACCCTTTCTTTTTGAATCCAGGAAGAGGAGAAAAACTGCAATCTCTGATAGCTGACCTCTCAGTCTTAGGCATACATACACAGATCTTCTATTACCTTCCAGGACTTAAGAAATCAAATCATCATTTTGAAAAAGGTGATTTTATTAACAACAAAAAGATATACTTGGTTGCTAGGTGTTTTAAAGCAACTGAGCCAGGTGTTTTTAAATAATTTAAAAACACAGAGAAAATTACATCCCTAGGGGTATGTCTACACTACCCCGCTAGTTCGAACTAGCAGGGTAATGTATGCATACCGAATGTGCAAATGAAGCCCGGGATTTGAATTTCCCGGGCTTCATTTGCATAAGCCGGCCGGCGCCATTTTTAAATGCCGGCTTGTTCGAACCCCGTGCCGCGCGGCTACACGCGGCACGGGCTAGATAGTTCGGAATGGCTTGCTAGTTCGAACTATCTGTTCGGAACGAGACGTACAGATAGTTCGGAATGGCTTGCTAGTTCGAACTATCTAGCCCGTGCCGCGTGTGGCCGCGCGGCACGGGGTTCGAACAAGCCGGCATTTAAAAATGGCGCCGGCCGGCTTATGCAAATGAAGCCCGGGAAATTCAAATCCTGGGCTTCATTTGCACGTTCGGTATGCATACATTACCCCACTAGTTCGAACTAGCGGGGTACTGTAGACATACCCTGGGATACATCTTAAAGTACAGTGTGTGGTGTGGGGGGAGTACATGGACTTAATATGGATAAGTTTAACCAAACAGCAAAACAAAGAAAATAACCTGATCACATCTAAATAAACATTTCCCTATCTACTCACGATCTGTGCTTTAAGGTCCAGTCCATTTCCATTCCCAGTATTCTTTGTAGGCATTGTAATTCTGCCTGGTTAAATTAATCTCCCCCCCCCAACTTCTGGCTTAAAACTCACACAAAAAACAACAGTAGGCAGGTATATCTTCCAATTCAAATCTCAATACCTTCTCCCATTGGCTCTCCTGGCTCCCTGCCAACATTTCCTAGCTACCTAAGTTTAACCCTTTAGTCACTGAATACTGGGATGTTCAGAAAAGGCCAGCACCCCCCTATTTATCACAATACTTAACAGAGAAAATGATCAAACTAGACTTTATTTTTAGTTCTGAAAGAGCATATTGTAGATAGTGTTTGTGTAATTATCAGCATTTACACAGTTAACAGATTTGTACTTTTTAAAAAAATTAAGGATGATTTAGCTAGAAATATCATTTCATCCTTGAAGAGCTTCAATAAGGTCACAATACTTCATTTGGAAATATTTTTTATTTTAAACAAATTAAATACAAATTTAATACTGTGACAGAGTAAAATTGCAAATTAAAGGCTCTAAGAGCTGGCCATTTCCTTAAATATATGTAAAATGATATAAGTGTCTGGTGATAATTACCTCTTAGGAAAGAAATCATCAGAGGATGCATTTACAAGTGTCTCAGAATTATGAAAATTTGCAATAAGATACAGAAAGTGTTAGTGTTAAACTGAAAGCCATTGAAATTTGTCAAGGATTGCCAGACCATTAGAACCGCTATTATATTCTAAACTGTGGAGATACTCTGATATCATCAGGCAGTAGTGCATGGTAAATATTGACAAATACTTAGTCTTTAATAGCAGCCTCTTCTGGTGACATTACACTTAAAGATCTGTGTATCTAGTAAAATGGATGTTGTTAGCTAGGTAGCCACACAAAGAACCAGATTCTGATCCCACTTGCTCTAGCTGAAATTGGGAGTGACTCCAGTGCACCTGTAATTGCTCAACAGCAGCCCTGCCACTTCTCTCTGTCTCTGAATCACTCTATCTCTCTATAAAATGATATAACAATTCCCCCTTACATTTCTTCTTCATAATTGAAGAGAGAGAATCTGATTTTTACAAAGGGTGGCCTATTCCTGAGGAATGTAGAGCTAAAAGGCATACCATATCCCCTCATGAAAATGATTACTTCAGCATTACTGAGTTGAAGTTGGATTCTCGGTTGTAATAAGGTGAATTTTAAAGTGACTTGATATTTTGAAAAAATATAGTTCTTTTATTTGTTCTTCCTTGATTTATTTTATTCTTTCCCATATTTTCAGAAAGTAAGAAATGGTATTTTTCATAATCTAATTGCAAAACAAGTTTTTTATTGTACCTTTAACATTAGGGACTCTGCTCTCCTCATATCTGCTTTCCTGTAAATAATATAAAATATTTAGCTGTGATATTGGTCAGTAATAATGAATATACAACTGATTAAAGTCTGCTGTTCCTGACACAACAAGATCGCATCTGGCAAGGTGAAGGAAAACCCAGACTAAAATATGGGACTTAACATTGAATCACACTGATTTAAAAATGATGCCCAAGGCTTTAGCTATGCAACTTCCATGGCTTTGTATAGCACTTAGTGGTACAGGAAAAGAGAAGGAAGTATATTTGTGAATGCTCTTTACTTACACCTAAGTCTCGAGGGGAGTGAGAGGACTTTTGCTGGATGGTAACAGAGGATTTAGTGTTTCTAGATATCTGAGTAGTCGCTGAATCTCCTAAATAACGTACATCTGTGAAAAAGGAAAAATACAGAGTACATAAGAGCTGCCATACTGAAATAAACCGTGGACCATGTTGTCCAGTATCCTCTGTCTAAGGGCATGTTTACACTGCACGCTTATTCCGAAATAAGCTATTTTGAAATGTTTATTTTGAAACAGCACATTTACACAACAAATGCCAATCAAAATAGCACTGAGCTATTTTGAAATAGAGCGTCTACACTCATTGGATGCTGATTAGTATTTAAGGCCTCCCAGAAGCACTTCAGGCAGGGCATCAGGACAGCAGTTACTTCCTGGAACTGCTGCCTGAGGCTTGTGCTTAAAGGCACCCCCCCGTACAGTCTTGTCTCAGGCTTTTCTTCTTTGCCTACTTCCTCAAGGGACAGCAAAGCCTTTTCTCTGCCTGCTGTGGATGCCCGTGCAGATACCTCACCTCTCTGGAGCTGGACCTGCTTCCTAACAGTCAACGGCTCTTATTTGTCTTGGTGCACCTCCTGCTGTAGTTTCTGTGGACTGCCTTCCTGGCCCTGCAGGAACAGGACCCCTGCTCCTTGTGGGGCAATTCCTTATCTCTCTCCACAAATTGCTCATACAGATCAACCCTACGTGCCCTCCCCTGCACATCGTGCACTGCCACTTCTAACTGCACACCAGCTCCGACTGGTAGGATTGGATTGTCCTAGAACGGTAGGACAACCAGCAGTGGCTCCAGAATTTCTGTATGTGGAAGAACACCTTTTCTGGAGCTATGTGAGTGGCTCGCCCCTGCCCTCTGGTGATAGAATACCCATATGAGACCTGCCATCCCACTCCAGAAGTGGGTCACCGTCGCTATCTCAAAGCTCGCTATGTTGGATGGCTACTGATCCATTGGGAATCAGTTAGGCATGGGGAGATCAACCGTCAGGACTGTGGTCATGCAGGTATGGTGCTCTCATTCTATTGTCCCAGGAGGTTGGTGAACTGAGCAGCTGGTGTGGGGTTCCCTAAGGATGGTGGTGGTAGCTCCCTCCCAGGGAGTTTTTTCAATCTCACATTCACAAAGCCCTGACAGAGGACGGGGCATGTCGGGGTTGATCCTGGTGTGTGTGTGTGTGGGGGGGGGGAAGGGAGGTGGGGCTTGGAAGCCTCCCGAGTGCCCTGGCACCCCTGCAATTCTCTGTCGCTATCTACAGGTGGTGAGGGCCATCAACACCATCCTGCTGCGCAGAGTCATCAACCTTGGTGATGTCGACCCCATAATCGCTGGTTTTGCTGGTATGGGCTTCCCCAACTGCGAGGTTGGGGGCTATTGATGGCACCCACATCCACAATTGGTCCCCCGGCCACCAGGAATCTGAGTACATCAATGGGAAGAGGTATTTTTTGATGGTCCTGCAGGCCCTCCTTGACCACCGTGGCCAGTTCACTGACATCTACGTTGGGTGATTGGTGAATTCGCATGACACACATGTCTGTTCCAGAAGCTGCATGCCAGCACCTTTTTCCCCGACTACCATCAGGGTCAGGGACATGGACATACTGGCTCATGAAACCCTACACCGGATGCCAAGGAAAATTTTAATGCCAAGCTCAACAGGTCCTGTATTGTGGTGGAGGGCACCTTCAGGCATCTCAAGGAGTTGTTCTGCTGCTACCTCACTCGGCTGGACTTCGGTAACCAGAATTTTCCCCAGGTGGCAGTGGCATGCCGTGTCTTCCACAACCTTTGTGAAAAGAAAGGGGAGACTTTCCTGCTAGGGTGGAGGGCCAAGGCTGACTGGATCAGCAGGGCCTATGAGCAGCCATGAATGGCTGCTATCTGGCAGGCCCATCAGGGGGCTGTGCAAATCCATGAGGTTCTTAGGGAGAGTTTCTTACAAGACTCCAGTGACACTCCCCCTGGGAGGGGACCATGAGGGAGAGGGAAGGGGGAGGAGGCTCAGGACTGGGGCTGGGAGTGGTGCCTGCACCTCGTGTGCGGGGCCCTTGGTGACCATGGGCCCTTGGTTCCTTAAATAAATTCCCTATTTTCTCTTCTGCTCCTACCTCATTTTCACTGATATTCATTAAATTAAATATCCAATTGCTACTAAACTTTTTGGTGAAAATTGAAACAAGAGTCAGTAAGCCCTTCTGCCATTTCCACAATTTGCATTATTGTTAATAGAATGGTGAAGCATGATTTCCCCTGATAAAAGTCACTCTGGGTACGTCTACACTTGCTCCGTAGTTCGAGCTACGGATGCAAATGTAGATGACCAAAATTGCTAATGAAGCGGGGATTTAAATATCCTGCGCTTCATTAGCGTGATCTCGCCTGTGTGTTACTTCGCTCAACAGCTGCTTCGTACCAGGAAGTGCGCGCCGGGATGTGTTAGTTCGAACCAAAGCCCTTGGTTTGAACTAATGTTACTCTAAGGGGTTTGGTTCAAAGTAACGTGTCCCGGCACGCACTTCCTGGTTCGAATCAGTTGTTGAGCGGAGTAACGCGCTGGCGAGATCATACTAATGAAGCACGGGATATTTAAATCCCTCCTCCATTAGCAATTTCGGTCACCTACATTTGCATCCCTAGCTCGAACTAGGGAGCAAGTGTAGAGGTACCCACAGACTCTTATCTTATAAATCACATTTGCCTGGCAACTCTATTCTTTACTATAATTTCTACCAGTTTTGCTGGTACTTAAGTTAAGTCCACTGGCTAGTAATTGCCAGGGTTGCTTCTGGAGTCCTTTTTAAAAATCAACACTACATAAGCAATTTAATGTTAGTATGCTTTGATAGGTGGGATAGATTCAGGTCAAGCTTTGTCAAGTCTTATATCCATCTATAGCGTACTACAACCTCATCATTCCAAAACATCACTGGTAATGTACTACCTACAACTGTTAAATAGCATGCGTTTGTTAACTACTTCATGATGGTTGCGTGCCTGGGTATATTTAGCAATATGTCTAAGGCATTTCACTGAATTCAGTGGAACAGTCATTTGAAACATCATTGGAGGACATGAGAGGACAGAAAAATGCTGGTTCAGGATCAATACATGATATGCAAATCCTACAGATTTCTCTGCTCATCTTACTCATGCAATTAGTTCCAACCCTGTCCTCCTATGACATTGGCACATGGAGGTGATCCCCTCAGGAATGGATCTGACTCCTCTTTATTGAAAATGGTGTCAGCTATTTCTACAACTCCCCACCCCACTTTCTAGGACTCTACAGTGTAACAATATGGTTTTTCTGCAGTCATATTGGAAGGCCTGTAGCCATAATGGAAGGCCTAAAGCCTTCCTCTGCAGCCAGACTGAAGAGCAGCAGCCATTAGCTGTAAAGCTTGAAGTCATATATTCACATTCCATCTAAATTGCATGAAAATAGTGTCACACCAGGCTGTTAGAAGGAGATCCTGTCCTAATGGCACCCACTGTCACCAGATAAAGAAATAGATATCAAGATAGGTAGAGAAACTTAGTATAACAGCATTTCATCTGGCAAGAAACTGTTGATCAATGGTTGAGGTTGTGGAATCCTCATTCTATGATTATTGCCCTCGCTTTCCTATTGTGTGTGCGTGTGTAATTTCTGCCTGGTTTGTAACTGTTTCTGTCTGCTGTATAATTAATTTTGCTAAGTGTAAATCAACTAAGGTGGGGTATGATTGGTTAGGTAATTATGTTACAGTATGTTATGATTGGTTAGTAAAATTTTGCTAAAATAATTAGTTAAAGTATTGGTAAGCAGGACTCAAATTTCACTATATAAACTGGGGTCCAAGAAGGAGACCAGAGGGAAGCATAGAGCTGGAAGAGACCTCACGAGGTCATTGAGTCCAGCCCCCTGCCCAAAGTAGGACCAATCCCAACTAAATCATCCCAGCCAGGGCTTTATCAAGCCAAGTCTTTAAAACCTCTAGGCATAGAGATTCTACCACCTCCCTAGGTAACCCATCCAGTGCTTTACCACCCTTCTGGTGAAATGGTTTTTCCTAATATCCAACCTATCCCCCTCCCCACTGTAATATGAGACCATTGCTCCTTGTTTTACCATCTTTCACAACTGAGGACAGTCTCTCTCCATCCTCTTTGGAACCTTGAGGAATCAGGAAGTTGAAAGCTACTATCAAATCCCCCCTCACTCTTCTCTTCTGCAGACTAAATAAGGCCAAAACCCTCTGTCTCTCCTCATAGGTCATGTACTCCAGTCCACTTATCATTTTGGTTGCCCTCCGATGGACCCTCTCCAATGTGTCCACATCCTTTCTGTAGTGGGGGGCCAGAAGTGGATGCAGAACTCCAGATGTGACTTCACCAGTGCAAAATAAAGGGGAATAATCACTTCTCTAGAGCTGCTGGCAATGCTCCTTCTAATGCACCATTAGCCTTCTTGGCTACAAGGGCACACTGTTGACTCATATCCAGCTTCTCATCAACTGTAATCCCCAGATCCTTTTCTGCAGAACTGCTACTTAGCCAGTTGGTCCCCAGCCTGTAACAATGCTTGGGATTCTTCTGTCCCAAGTGCAGGACTCTGCACTTGTCCTTGTTGCACCTCATCAGATTTCATTTGGCCCAATCCTCTAATCTGTCTAGGTCACACTGGACCCTATCCCTGCCTTCCGACATATTTACCTCTCCCCCTAGCTTAGTGTCATCTGCAAATTTGCTGAGGGTGCAATCCATCCCCTCATCCAGGTCATTAATAAAGATGTTGAACAAAACTGACTGCCAACTGACATCGAGCTGTTGATCACTACCCTTTGGGCCTGACAATCTAGCCAGCTTTCTATTCATCTTACAGTCCATTTATCTAATACATATTTCCTTAACTTTCTGGCAAGAATATTGTGGGAGACCGTATCAAAAGCTTTGCTAAAGTCAAGATATATCACATTCACTGACTTTCCCATGTCCACAGAGCCAGTTACCTCATCATAGAAGCTAATTAGATGGGTGAGACATGACTTGCCCTTGGTGAATCCATGTTAACTATTCCTGATCACATTCCCTTCTTCCAAATACTTTAAAATGGATTAGTTGAGGATCCCCTCCATGATTTTTCTGGGGACTGAGGTAAGGGTGACTGGTCTATATTTCCCTGGATTGTTGTTCTTCCCTTTTTTAAAGATGGGCACTACATTTGCCTTTTTCCAATCATCCGGGATCTCTCCCGATCTCCATGAGTTTTCAAAGATAATAGCCAAAGGCTCTGCAATGACATTTGCCAACTCCCTCAGTACCCTCGGATGCATTAAATCCAGACCCATGGATTTGTGTATGTCTAGCTTTTCTGAATAGTTCTTAACCTGTTCTTTCTTCACTGGGGGCTACCCACCTCCTTCCCATACTGCTTTGCCTAGTGCAGTAGTCTGGGAGCTGACCTTGTCTGTGAAGACAGAGGCAAAAAAGCATTGAGTACTTCAGCTTTTCGCACATCATCTGTCACTAGGTTACCTCCCTCATCCAGTAAGAGCCCCACACCCTCTTTGATCACCCTCTTATTGCTAACGTGCCTATAGAAACCTTTCTTGTTACCCTTCTGATCCCTTGCCAGCTGCAATTCCAATTGTGCTTTTGCCTTCCTGATTACTCCCCTGCATTCTCGAGCAATATATTTATACTCCTCCCTAATCATCCATTTCTTGTAAGCTTTCTTTTTGTGTTTAAGCTCACCAAGGATTTTCCCAGTAAACCAATCTGGTCGCCTACCATATTTGCTTTTCTTACTGCGCATTGGGATGGTTTCTTCCTGTGCCTTTTAATAAGGCTTCTTTAAAATACTGCCAGCTCTCCTGGACTCCTTTCCCCTTCATGTTAGCATCCCAGGGATCCTGCTCATCAGTTCTCTGTTTTTCTGAAGTCCAAGGTGTGTATTTTACTGCTCTCGTTTCTTCCTTTTGACAGGATCCTGAACTTGACATCTCATGATCACTGCTTCCCAGGTTGCCACCCACATCTATTTCCCCTATTGGTTCCTCCCTGTTTGTGAGTAGCAGAAAATGGTAAAGAGGAAGGAAAAGAGGAAAGGAAGAAAGGAACAGCAAGAAGACGAAGGAGGGAAGACCTGGAAGAAGAACTCGCATCCAAGACACAGCCTAAGACTAGAGCTGCCAGGACTCCTCTGCATGACCATGACGTGCAACAGCTAGGATTCAGAGAGACAGACTTTGCCTGTCCAACAGGGATGCCTGTCTTTACCAGGATTGGTGAGCATGACACTATGTGCTTAGTATGTGTACTCTGCTTGCTTGGTAATTGTCAATAAATAGAGAATAAGAATATTATTGTGTAAGGCTCTTTCAGTGGCAAAAGATCCTGCAGACCCACAGGAAGTTACAGCCTGAGCCCCAGGAATTGGGAAAGGGTAGGTGTTTAATAGGGTTGCACCTTGAGTCCTAAGAATTGGGTAAAGGTGTGTTTCCCTAAAGTGTGGAAGGGATAAGGAAAATTGTGCGGGTAACAACAAAGGAATTTCCATGGGGCATTATCCAAGTTGGGCGTGGTCAGGGTTGTGAGGGATACACATAATGCCCTTGTGGCTCCCCAAATATTATTGGGGAAAAGTGATAAATTCCCAGACTCTATCGTTCTTGTTGTGAAGCCTCTAAATTAGGGAATTCCCCCTGAAAGTAGGGGTTTCCTGAGCTACATAACAGTGGCCAGCTGAGTCCCTGCAAGCCCAGCTCCACTGCCACAGAGTGAGGTGTGGTGTCTTTCTGGCCCAGAGATGTTACTGTGAGGCTATGTTTACACTGCAGGGTTTTTGTGCAAGAAGCTTTTTGCGGAAGAATTCTTGCACAAAAACTTCTTGGGCAAAACCACATCCACACCGCAAAACTGCATCACAAATGTGATGTGCTTTTGCGTAAGAGCGTCCACACTGCATGGACATTCTTGCGCGAGAAAGCTTTGATGGCCACTCACAGAGCTTTTTCTGATAGGCTCTTTTTGCACAAGAAACCCCTGCAGGGCATCCACACACACGTTTTGCACAGGAGCTGTAGCGCAAAAAGGAGTTATTCCTCATGGGGAAAGGAATAACTCTTATCAGTAAAAGCCCTCTGTCCTGTCGATTTACTGTATTTTTTTTTTTGCACAAAAACGTGTTGTTTTTGTGCAAAAACCTTGTACTGTAGACATAGCCTGAGACAGGGCCGGACTGAGCCATTCCGGCGCCCCAGGCAGACAGTTTAATTGCGCCCTGGGTTGGGGGAGGGCACATGCGCGGCCCCGTCCCCACGCCACCGCGTGGGGGAGGGTGTACGGAGCTGGCGGTGGCAGGAAGCATGTGCCCAGCCTGGCCCGGCCCAGCCCGGCTACTGCTGCTGGCGCACAGCCCGGGCCCGCCGGGGGGGAGCCAAGCCTGGCCGTGCAGGGCTCCGTGGCCGCGGAGGGAAGGGTGCTACTGGCTGGCGCTGTGGGCGTTAATGTGGCCCCCGCCCCAGGCAGCCACTGGAGGGTGGCCTCTGGGAGCTGCTGTAGCCCTCGATCCGGGAGCCGGGTGCATGGCGGATGATGGCAGCGATCAGGGGCACTGAGCGCCCCTTACAACTGCCATTAGGCGCCCCCCATAGGGTGGTGCCCCGGGCAGCTGCCTGGCTAGCCCATGCCTTAATCCGGCCCTGGCCTGAGAAAAAAGCCTCCAAGATAGCCAAAGGCTATCTTGAAAATCCTAAGAGATCTGTGTTTATAGGCCAACTCTTTAGGGAAAAGAGCGCGAGCTCCATCCTATGCCCTATGGGAAGAATTCCCCCATGGTGTCTTTGTCAAGTCCTCCCCACATTCTAACTCAGGATAACAAACTTGACCTATTTTCTTAAAATCCTCTGCAATACAGTAGCAATAAAAGATGGTTAGAAACCTTTCCGTGCCAGACAGTTGTTTTTTGGATATATTCTCCCTAAACTGCTGTCCTTGACAATATCCTCCCACAGCCTATATTCTTGTTTGTTATCATTTATTCAGAGAGTATAACAGGATGCCTTCCCAGAATTTACATTTGATTCTAATTATGCCCTCTGCTGCTTGGGTAAAACATGCCTACATGTTGATACACATCCATGTACACGAGCATGTTTTTCTGAATCAGTTCATTTGCTGAGTCATTAACTTTAAATGTATATTTTAATTGCCTATAAAAGGTTGCAGAATAAGACATGAACACAAAAGTTTATTTCTGAAATGCATTTTCAGGCTCATTTCTGGTAGGTGAAAGCTACAGGTCATAAATGAATAAAAATAGCTGTCCAATTGCTTAACATGCTTTTCTTTGGACCCATCAGTCAAGATTTGCATGGTTTTCCCTAGGCAGTAACTATACTCTAGGGTGCTCTTAGATAAGCACCAGAGGATGCTTACCATAGGGTTCTGAACAGAAATGTCCTCATTGTCAGGCAGTGGGGAAATAAAGTTTTAATTGAGCATTTGAGTGCTGCTATTTCAGGTTTCTAAATAAAGCTTTTTTTAGAACACAGCCTAGTCCATCCCTGAGTTCACACATGCTAAGGAATCTGAGGAAAAATGAGTTCAATAATTTGATTGTGTTCAATCAAAATCCCATTGAAAACAGTGGAAAAACTTTGGTTTCAGTGGGAAATGAATCAGGCCCTTATCTCACACAAACCTCTCTCATTTGCTGTTGTGGATTTTATTTTAGTATTTTTAATTAGATTTAAGATATTTCTGCGTGCGTCTCTCTCTTTTTTGGTGGTGTTAACATCTCTAGATTTTTATTATTAGCGTTGACTATCTTGACCAGTAGGGACAAACTTTCTTTACACCAAATTTGACAGTGGCTTGTTTCAAATAATGCATTACATAGAAGTGCTAAAATAAAATGAAACTTGAATACAACCTCTATAAAACAAATCAGTGGCTTGATTAAAATACAGAATTTCCCTATGAACAACCCATGGGAAATTAAAACAAAATGCCTATTCCTGAAAGGTGCAATAGGTGCCCTTAATATAATGTTACATTTATTGATATGCAAATTGATTATCTTGGAAAATCATACATTTTCTTTCTTTTCTATGTCTTTATTTGGTGGAACACTTGTTCTAAACATTTTTAAAAATAACCAGACTAAGCACAATCTGGTTTCCTCACTTAGCCCAAAGACTCAGTTCTGGTTTAGCACAGAAATAAATTACCTAAATACCCTGATTCTTTTATGGGTTTGGCAGGCGAAATTTTCAAAGAGTGCATGGCCTCCAAGCTGGAAGTCTTTACAGTATCATAGGGATGCTGTTCTTCATCAGATATATAGCACGAATGTTCTGATTCTTCTTCCCTCGCTTTTGCAAAGTCTTTATTCTAGGCAAAATAAAGAAATTCAGGTAATACAGTGCAGAGCTAACTTCAGGGCTGGACAAAGTGAATGCCATTGACTTGAATGATTCTACTGAGTTCTGTGAACAACTGAGTTGGATGGGGTTTGGCCGACTTCTGACATTGCATTCCTGTAAACTGTGAACTGGGAGTTTTGTTCAGCTGTTGAAGGGGTGAAGATGAAAGACTGCACACTGGTGCAGAACAGTTTCTGGCTGTAGTTTAGAATTTAACTTAAATTTGAAAGTTAGTAGGATTCAGACTCCTAACAGGGAGATTTTCAAAGGCAAAAATAGCAGTTAGGAATCTTATTAATCTTACCAATTTTTGTTGAGTACCATTGGTGCCTTGAGAAGTCTCCTCTAGTGCCTAAGTCACTTTGGAAATGGGCAGCTGGTTTCTAAGATACTTAGAGACTTTTGAAAATGTTACACACAGTGTAACTTCACCAGCAAAGCACATTAAAAAAAACCCACCACTGTAATATTTTCAATGTGTCATTTGTGCTAAGCTATTTGGTTATATAACTCATCAAGCTAGAGAATAGAACAAAAATTGTCACAGATGGTATAGCTTAATGGCAGAGCATTTCTAACCTTGGGTTCTGTGAATCTGAACATTACTGATTTATATAATTAACCAGCTCATAACACTGAACATTTTAAAATAATGTCACTTTAAAAGTCCCTTTTGGTTAATAAATATTCAAGTATTTGAGTCCTGAGTGCTTGCATTAGCCAGTCATCTGTGCCCAAGTAAACAAGAAAGGGTGGTGAATATTACTGAATGGTAAAACTGAAATCAGCTTTCAAATTTGAATTAAAGTTTACTGCAATGTTTTTATTTGTCCATTTCTCCTGTTGGCACTACTTGGGTACTCATTATCTAGTTATAGCACATGGTCTTGCAATTATTGTTTTCTCCCAATTTTTATTGACTTCAGAGTGATTTGTCAATCAGAAGTAAAACAGAATCAGGCTGCTGAGAAGTCTGCTCCTGTAACCCAGCTTCAGAAGTTCCTAGCCTAACTGGAAATAACCATTTTCCATGCTGATTTTAATACACAGTTACATACCAGAAAACACATGAGTGTTACATATTTGAAGATTTGATACTGAATGACTGTTCTATATACAATGATGCTGTAGTTCCAACAGAACATAACTATATACAGGAAAATGAATCCTACTCATGGTATTTTCAAAAGCAGTCATTGGACTAATCCTGCTCTCACTGAAGTCAATTTAAAGTTTTCCAGGATTCCAGCAGGAGCAGAGTTACACCAACACCAAGCACTTTTGAAAGTTGCAGTCTACATTTCATGTGCTCAGGCAGAAATGACAGTTTTCATTATAGCAGGTGACAATTTTAAATTTCACTTAAGTGAAAGTAAAACAACATTTTAGAGAGAAAGGAAAAGTACTTACAAAATTATATGTCTTCCCAGGAATATTTCTGCTCTTGTCTTCTAAAGAAAGTGGTAAAAAAAATTACAAGTATTATATATTCTGCATATAAGATTGATATGTTAGGCTGTGTCTAGACTACATGCCTCCGTCGATGGAGGCATGTAGATTAGACAGATAGGCAAAGGGAAATGAAGCGGCTATTTAAATAATCGCCGCTTTATTTAAATTTACATGGCTGCCACGCTGAGCTGACAAACAGCTGATTAGCTGTTTGTCGGCTCAGCGCGCTAGTCTAGATGCTCCTGCGCTGACCTGAAAGCCCTTTATCTGCCGGGGTCGGCTAACAAGGTTTTTTGAGGTCGCCAGGGGAGCGTCCAGACTAGCGTGCTGAGCCGACAAATGAGTGCGGCAGCCATGTAAATTTAAATGAAGCCACGATTATTTTAATCGCCGCTTCATTTCCCTTTTTCGAATACACAAATCTACATGCCTCCGTCGACGGAGGCATGTAGTTTAGACGTACCCTTATTTAGTACATTATTAAAATGAACAGAACTTAGTTACTGTATAATATACAGAAAATATCCACCTAGCTCACATAGGCTACGTCTAGACTACAAGCCTCTTTCGAAAGAGAGTGTCTAGACTACAAGCAGACTTTTTGAAAAAGCGAGCCGCTTTTTCGAAAGAAAGTCTAGATGCTATCTTTCAAAAAAGCACAGTTTGCATTCAATAGTGCCTTTTTTCGAAAGAGTACTTTCAAAAAAAGCCATTATTCCTCGTAGAATGAGGTTTACCACCATCAAAAAAACTGCTGCGTTCTTTCGATTTACTTTTGAAAGAACGCGGCTGCAGTCTAGATGCAGGTAAAGTTTTTTTGAAAAACTACTTTTTCGAAAAACCCTGTAGTCTAGACACACCCATAGTGAAAAATGATGGCTGCCAGGATTAGGTACATTAGTAAGGAAAGGCTCTCATAGACCCTCAAACCCACACTTAATTCATTTGTACAGAGGCTATTAAGGTTAAGATTTTTTTTCAAATGGATGCCTGAAACTGAGTGCCTAAGCAATCCATAAATGACAATATCGTAGGTAGTTTTTTGGTCCCCATCATCACAGCATCTCAGCACCTCACAGAGCTTAGAACATTCTTATACCAGGGATATTTTGGGGAGCTCAAAATTTCTTCCTCTCTCAAATCTGGACAAAAATGTTGAAATCTCAACTGTCCATGAACTTGAAAAAACAAAACAATTTGTTTGGCTCAGGGGCATCAGAAATGTTTCCTTTTGATAATTTTGAAGTATTTCATTTTGTCAACTTTTTTCCTTCATCTTCTTTATACTCTGGCTTAAATTTCTAAAGTAAACATTTCACATCAGAAAAATTGAGTTTTTCTTTTTGAAAATAGCAAGATAAAATGTTTTGACACTTTCAGAACATATATTTTTCAAGTTGGGAATTTCATTAAAAAGTGGTTTCACAACCAGTTTACAAACAAACAAACAAATGGAAAAAATACCAAACCAAACCTTCTCCCCTCCCCCAACCCAGAATTGTTAACATTTTGTTGAAAAATTCCCAACCAGTTCTCCTCACCGTTTTCAGTGTATTTATTTTCACAACACTCTTGTGAAGTAAAGAGGCAGCATAATTCCCATTACTTTGGGCACTGAGCCATAAAGATCCTGACTTGTGCAAGATCACACAGGAAGTCTGGGGAAAAGCAATGAATTAGCATTCCCGAGTCCCTTAACTACTGGAATATCCTTCCTCTCCTATGTGGCTGGATTTTCAAATTTTTGAGCAGCCAGCCCTCCCACAGGAGTCACTGAAAAGGGGCAATATGATCAAAGTAGTAAAAATAATTTTGATTTTTGAATATAGCTTGATACATATGCACACTCTCATTTTAAATGTATTGTGTTATGTACCTCTTTGTGCTCATTCTAGTTAAAACTGACCAAAATATAACATAAAAGAACCCTTTTATGCATAATTTTTCTTCTGTAAGTTAGATGTAGAACATGATCCCAGCAACAAAATATTGCACAGTTTTGTGTGGCCCAGCAGATGGCAATAAATGTTCAGTTGTACGGTATCTGTTATCTCTCTTTATAAGTCATTCACAGGGTAGGGGAAATGGATTGCTGCAAACTATGGGCCTGACTCTCCTCTGACTTACACCAGTTTACTACTATAGCTCCTTTGACCTCATTGCAGTTAGTCCTGATTTACCCCAAAATAAGTTAGAGGTGAACCAGGCTCTACAAACATAATGCTGAAAACAAACCAGTGCTTTAAAGTTTCACTCTTTTGTTTTCTATTTCAAATTATAAAAAATTACTTTCTGTTCATTGAGTTCCAAGTTGAACACCCTCTGCATGACAGGAAATGAGTCATGTAGATCCACATTATTGGCCACATTCTCTAGTATAACCAGCTAGAAATCCAGAAATATAATTTATGCTATCGTGCCGAAAGTGTCCGTCTGCTATGTACATTGGACATTGCTATGTACATTGGACAAACTTCTCAGACTTCTTTGCTTTAGATTAGAATAAAATTCTCAACACCTGATGACCTCCCATGGAGGTTGTGTTCTTTTGAGAAACATTGGTGTAGATCAAGGAGCAATGGAATACCATATTGTACATTAGTACAAAGTATCCAAATTGCCTTTTTACTTTAAATGAGAAAGCAGAGACAATTTTGATTCTGTGGTCACACTAATTAAAATAGAGTTCACAGGGTCTGAATTCACATTCATGGACTTCAACACTGGAGCTATGTCTACACTGGTGGCTTCTTGCGCAAGGGTTCTTGTGCAAGAAAACATCCACACTGCCATGTACGAGCTGTGCTTTTGTGCAAGAGCGCCCATGGCCGTGTGGGTGTTCTCTTGCGCAAGAAAGCTCTGATGGCCATTTTAGCCACAGGGCTTTCTTGCGCAAGAAATTCCTGCCAAGCGTCCACACTGCCCTCTTGCGCAAGAGCTCCTGCGCAAGAGGGCTTACACTTGATAAAGAAGAGCATAGCGCTTGCGCAAGAAGCCCTCTCTTACCACGCTGTACTGTAAATTTCCTTGTGCAAGAGCTGGTGGGCAGTGTGGATGCTCTGCAGATTCTTGCGTAAGAACGGCTGTACTTGCGCAAGAAGCCGCAAGTGTAGACATAGGCAAAAAGGTTTTTGAAAAGCCAATGATTTCATTATGGTTCTAATAGTGATCTCAGACAGATGTTGTGTTTTAATGAGCAGCTCAACTTTCAAAGGCTTAGTCTCTCCAAACCCCTTTAATATACAAAATTGGGCTGCCTTTTTTTAAAGGGGATTGTTCTCTTATGCAGTTTGTAGTTTATCTGGAAATTCCATGAAATTGCCTATCTCATGTATCTGGGCACCTCTTAGGGACTAGGGAAAGGAGCAGGAAAATGCCAATACATGCTAGCTGTACTAAGGTTTTGCTGTGATGTGGCCACATGGCCACTTGGAAGTGAATTGAAAGAGAACACATCTCTGAAACCGCCAGACAGGTTGGTTTTATTTTATCTGAGTTGGTTCTTGAACCATTTCCCCCTCTGATGGCTGGTGCTTGTTGGAAGCATCATCTAGTGGTTAGGGGGAGTCACTTCCTCCCTAATACAGTTGCAGGCTGTTAGAGGAGCCCATGCTCTGTGACATTTACCAAGGTTGGGCTCGCAAGAGCACTTTAAGGCTGCCCTTTCTGGGCTACTTCCTCCCCCTTTTCTGTAGTACAAGCTTTGCAAATCTGCAGCAAATGGTAATGAAAAAAATATACTAATTGCATCTTTAACCTGCCTGAGCTCCTGCTTTCCCCAAAGGGACTACTGCTGATGCAACATCCCACCTTAGGAATTTCCAAGGTAGGCCTTTCTCCCTGCCTCATCAGCTCCCTTTGGAGTTGTCTGGATTCCTTATGGCAGATTATCTATAGGTGCAGCTGAACGAGGCCCTTTAGACCTAATATGCCTTGTAAAATCCTCTATCAAAAAAAAAAAAAAAAAAAAAGCCTTATGATGCTATTTTAAAGTAAAAAGTAAGGGGATAGTGGATGTTCACATTTTAGCAAACAGTCCTTTATGTGTGAGTGTGCAAGATGTACATGTTGTACAATAAATGTGGGATACTGGCTTTACATCTAGAGCACGTGTTTGGTTAATCGAGCCTTTAAGCCAGCAAAGCACTTGCACACATTCTTTTCATTAAGTATGCTCCTTTAAAGTCATGGGGTGAAATCTGGGGCTTGTGGATTTCAGTGGGAATTTTCCTCACTGATTACAGTGGAGCCAAAATTTTGCCCATAACTCAATGTGTCTTAAGTGCCTACTTAATGTTAAACAGGTGCAAAAAAGCTTTATGGAATAAGTGCTGGAGAGCACCTTATAATTTGGCTCAAGACCTTAAAAATAGGAAATGTTCACTTTTTTTGTAAATGAAAATGGATTTTTTTTTGCAAACTCCCAATTGTTTTAGAAGTGATCAACCATTTTGATAATTGAGGTCAGATCTGATGATACAGACACCTGTGGCCATGAAACTCAGCAGAGGAACACAGACCCATGCTAGGAGATCTGATTATAGGACTGGAGCCTAAATGGGGCAAGATAGATATACATAAAATGGCACTTTAAAAAAAGCTTTATACAGTCTCATTGTTTTTTAGAAGTAACAAGCCATTTGATTAATAATCCAATGTTTGTTGTTTTAAATCTCCATTTTATATGCATCAGGATAACTTATTCCACGTACTGTAGAACTGTTAAACACAAAATCAGTTTTGTTATGTGCAGGTAGCTTTTGACCTCCTTTATTAGTTGATACCTGAGTTGTGTATATTTCTCACAGTATAGCAACACATCTAGGTTCTGATTCTGGTTTTTTTTTTGCATATCCCAAACTCTTGCCAAGGGTATTAAGTATGATAAAAAGAAAACAGGATGAAAAATATTATTGAGAAGAAACATGGTAGAAATGGTAACACAGTATTTTACCTCTGGGGTTCACCTTCAGTTCACTTGCTGCATTTACGTTTGGACAAGATCTAGAGAAATAAAAGAGAACAAATGCACTTACCTGAATATGAGCAAGTTTATCAAAACCTCATTTCAGAATTAGCATAACAGGATGTGGGAACTGCTAATCATTTAAGTGAAAAACATTTTTGGTATCTCTGGGAACCACTAAGATATGAGCAGAGAGGATCCATATGCACGGATCTCCACCATCCACTGTTGGAATGATGATTCTGCCTGTCACCATTTGTTCTTCAAATCTCTTTACCTGTCTCAGTAGTTATATGGCTCTGTACTGTGGTATGTGAGCATCTACCAACTGTTAAAAACAGGAATATAGATGTAGCCAGGATTAGGAATAAATTTATGCACACCCCATCACTTAACATCTAAGCAGCTACCCTAAGAAATACTCAGGGCTAGCAAAATGTCAGCTCTAAGCCTTTGGGCTCCAGACTCCCCGCCCTGTACTTAGAGTTGTCCTATATCTTCTGTTCTTTGTATTATCTCTCAGCAGCTGTCAAACAAAAAATGCAGCTGAGTGGTTTCCTGTTTAGTGAGTTTCCTTCAAACCACACTGAATTCATCTGACCTTTAGCTGGCCAATGCTTGAAGCAGCTATACATCAATATTAAAATTCTTATGATTATTTATCAGCACTTTAAAAATAATAAATTCACTTACCTATTGGTTTGCAAAGTTAGCGTCTTGTTTTTCAGAACAGTTGGTTCTTTTGTTTTGATTTTCCTGTTGACTCTGTTAGCAATAAATTAGAAACAAGCTGCAATGGGAGCAAAATTAGGCTTATGCACGTTAGAAGTTTTTCAAATCTGGGACATCATATGTATAAATGAATGACATTTCTTCCACTCAGGTCATTTCCCACTCCCCCATATTGGGAGAATTTGGTTTGCTGCTTTTCATTTTGAACAATTTAGAACCGAATTGTTCCCTGTGCAAAAAGACGGGGGGCAGGGGAGACCCCTGAGTGACAGAAAACTCTGAATTCCAACTCCTGGAAGCATCATTCCATTAGGCACTAGGCATTCCATTAGGCATCTTGTGGAAAGGAAAGGGAATTAAGCTACCAAAACCTATGGCTTCCCAGTCACAAACTCCATGCCAGAATCTGTGACTGGAAAGCAGATGATAGCTCACCCAAAATTGCCCTGTTCTGTTCATTCCCTCTAAAGCAGCTGGCACTGGCCACTATCAAAAGACAGGATACGGGGCAAGATGGACCATTAGTCTCACATGATATGGCTGTTCTTCTTGACAGAGGGACACTTGCTGAACAGTAGGGCATACACATGAAGCTCCTGCCCTCTTAACTGCCTTCCCGGCTCTGCTGTCCTGCTGTGCTCTGTCCACTTGCACTTTCTCCTGAGACCCCAGTAGAGTGAGGTTTCTTCTAGAAGGCAGGGAAACCCAGGTAAAATATTACTGACCTATGACTCAAACCTGCACCCTCATAACAAGCTTGAAGTTACGTATTTGCAGGACAAGTGTCTTACAACTAGTGCACTACATAAACCCCATAGATTTCAAGAGGGCAGTTTTCTGATGAGCTGTTTCCCTTGCTCATTTTCTGGCTTGCTCACACCTGAACTACAGAGTCCAACAACGTAGCTTTTCTATATAAGGTTTTGCTATGGTCTCTGATTCATGTTACAGAAACATTGCTCCCTCCTTTTGGATGATAGAGTTTTCCATACCATTTAGCACCCATTCACCTTTGCTGCCGAAGGAAGTGTGTGGCCTTTAGCTTAACGGTAGCATTTTCCAGCCTTTGCCATCTCACTAGCTAACACATATTCTGAAATCTTAATTTTGTATCTATGAGAGTGCCCTTCATTGACACAAAGTACCATGACACCCATTTGAATTCATGATTCAAGTTACATTATTTATGGCCATCAAAGATATTAAGGAGGAGGAAATGTAGGGTAGCATTAATTTTAAGTGTCCGTTGACTAATGTTTAATTGCTGACAAAATGCAATGAAACACCTACAGAAATGCATTTGACATTTACACTAATGCCAGTTGAATTCAGCATGATGGATTCTGCTATAATAGATGATGATTAATTCATGATGAAATGGATACATAAAAGTTTCTGTTCTAAAATCTGAAATTTGCCAAGAATCATGATACTAAGGGTCATATTCTGGCACACTTATATAAATCCAAAAGTATCTCATTTCACACTGTTCCACTGACTTCAATGGCATTATACTGAGTATACAATGCAATTTACCCTGAGTGAGGTTATTAGAATATGGTTCTAAGCAATAATAGGAACAATGCACAGCCTAAAAAGAGTTAAAGAGATTCATATTCATTTTCTGACCTTTCTCCCAGCTCCTCAGTCTCTATAAATTTGTTTTGCATGTGAACAGTGACTCGAAGGAAAACTGGTATTATCCCACTCAATATTTTCACATCCAACTGCAGCACTTTAAATGAGTCTAGTACTGCACATTTTTTTCATTAGCTTGCTAATTTCCACTGATAATGCAACAATCATTCCTGTCATTAATCTTTATTCTCATACATTGTACATATCACAGTCTGGCCCAAAATGTTCACAAGCACTTTTGGGTTGGTTTACCATTATTATTAAGATTTATAGTACAGAAGGAACAAAGGGATGCAATCACAGACCAAGGCCCCAGTGTGTTGAGCATAAACCTTTAAAAAAGTAATTGCTGTCCAAGGAGTTTACAATCTAAATAAATGATAGGAGAAAACAGACAGGATGAGCACAAGGTAACATGACACAGAAGTAGGTTAGCAAGAAAGGAGTGGAACATGGAAGATATTCAGGTTGTGGGGACTGGTGCATTAGGTAGTTACACGTCCCCCAAAATCAATGGGATTAATCATGGGATGAGAATTATTCATCTGAGTAATGCCTGCAGAATTAAGTCGCTTGACAGAAACACTGTCTTGAAACAAACACTGGGACATTATTTCTCCAGGAAGAAGTCTGTTTCAAACTTCACAGCTGAACAACGGTGCTAGATGGCATCAGAGGATCCTGTTTCATATCTCAGTGCCACTTATCCCACTCCTTAACTCAAAATTATGTTCAGCACAAGTATTTACCAGGACAATCATTAACTAATTTCACTATTAAGGGACTAATAAAATAATTAGCTTACTTCCTGAACTGTGGTTAAAAATGTTACGGATGATGCACGCAGCAGAGTGATTAAAAGTTGAACGGTCTTAGAAATCACAAGGTCATTTTTGTTATACTGTGGTTTAGCAAGCATTGTGTTGCTCGTTTCCTTTTCTGATCATATCTTTTTTTCTCAGACACCATAGCTTAGTACTAGCATTCTGGTCAGCAGAAGCATCAGTCACAGGTTTTATGGCCCTGATCAAGCTAACCTGAAATCAGTGGAGCTGAAACCAATGGGACATATTTAAAATTAATCATAGGTAAAACTCTCAAACGCACTTAAATCTCTCTTTCAAAAGTGAGATAGGCTGAACCAGAGCTAAAATTCCCTTTCCCCATGTACATCAGTAATAGGATGCTCAGTGGGAAGAATACACAGAAGACAACATTTTATTTGATGTTGTGAGTAGCAGAGAACACTGAATAAAACTAATGCACAGGTAAACAATAAAATTGCAAATGGTTCCACATGGGCAGATTCCAGCACCCATACAAAACCATGTTTTGTTTTTAACAAAGGGAGCGTTAGTATCAAGACTGATAAACATTAGCAAATTATCTCCTTTTTTAAAATGTGTCTTTAAAAAAAAAAAACAAATAAACCAAATACACATTTGGAACAGCTTCTCTCATTAGCACTTACTTAGCAGATTTATGTAACTGATCCTTGGTAAAAATATTTAAATGGTAATTAGTATGTATTTATTTAAATTGTCAGTACTCTACAATAGAAGTGTGTTGGGGTACGTCTACTCTGAGAAAATAACAACAAATATGCTGCTCGGCTGACCCAGGTTCACCCATCTACAGGACTAAATTAGCAGTGTAAAGTGGACATTTGGGCTTTGGCTAGAGCCTGGAATCCAAAACTGACCCCCTCCCCAACACATTATTGTTTAACTGCAGATCAAGCCCAAATGTTTACACTGCTCTTTTTAACCCCACAACACAAGCTCGAGTCAGTTGACATAGAGTTGAGCATCTCTTATTACAGCATAGATGTACCCTGGATGTCCTTGACAACATTTTAAAAGGACTCACATAAATAAACAAACTCATCAGTTATCCCAAAATCAAATCAAATAACCCCACAGGAACATAAATATAACAAAAATCAGTCACCATATTGGTTAAATGAAGATTTCAGAAGTGCCAAATAGGGATATTTCCTTAGAATTTTTCCTGAGAGTACTCTGGTGCTGATTAGCATTGACCAGCTGCAAAAATGCAAGCACTATTTTACATGCAAAATACAAAAGATTGGAAGAAATTATAGCTGCTTCTATCACGGAAACAAATCCTCTGTATGTGGTATGAATTCTGCTCCTCTAGTCCTCTGACAATGCAGGTATTCAAAACTGACAATTAAGATACAAACTACATACATATAACTCATATAACTATTATAACCTAAACTTCTGATTTGGAATTGCTGTAGTAAATCCAAGTCTGGCTATTTGGTAATGGATGAAAGAGATTAAGAAAAATCACTATGATTGAAAAAAACACAGAAGTATGACAAGGCCTATTTCAAACATCAAGCATTTTGTCATTATGTAGGGGAGAGAAATATTTTTACTCAGACTTTCTTCTTATTTCTGATAAATGGTTACTGAAACTAGCTCCTATAACCTTCTGCTACTGCTAACCACAGATTATATTATGTTTATTTTTCTGAAAGTGATACAGTGGTGCACTTTGAATTTCTTGGAAGGAATTTGGCAGTGTAAAGAAGGGTTAGCTTCCCTTTGAGACTTCTGTCAGCCCAGATCAAACTTTTTCAGCCAGCAAGGAAGTATTTCTGGCCTGGTGAAGCCAGGCTGTGTACTCTAACCTAGATACATGCAGAATATTGCACAACTTCCTCAGGGAAAGCAGTAGGTGTGATTGAACCTCAGTAGGTGTTCAAGTAGACATTGCATGCTCTGTCATGCCTTTCAGAGAAGCAGTCTGTGCTCTCTCCAGAAGCACCAGGCTGGGTTTGCCTCCTCCTGGCCCAGGCCCATTTGCATAAGATTCAATACACACTGTGAAGGGCGGTGCCAAATTTCTCCATTAATTTTATGCGCTCTACTGGTTTATGCTTAGTAACCTGTCTCACACCCTCAGTCCAAGCCTATGGCTCCCAGAAACCTACACAAATGTACTCAAATATTTGGCATTGTTATTATCAGCAAAATTTGAAGCAGTGGCTTGCTGACTGAACACTTTTTGTGAGGACTAGTGTGTATCTTAGGACCTGAAAGTAGCATGTACTGTAGGACCTAAGTAGATACAACTTGGAAAAAAATGCAGGTTGCTAGTTTGTGTAGTTATTACTCCTAGAACTGTGTTTGTGCCACATGTTTTCTTACCTACATTAGTGGTTCTGTTATAGGCACAGCATAGAGAAAGGCGCTCAGGAGAAATATAAATATTATCTGTGATACAAACACTGTCTCTGGAGTGGATCTCTGCTAAACTCACTCTAAGTCATGGATTCTGCAGAAGGATCAGCAGAGGCACATACATATTTTGCAGATTTTCTGCCCAACTAGCTAGAAGTAAAATATTTGTTTCTGTGTAAG